GACGCTGACAGACGCTTGTAGACGTCAAATATTGTAGATACGATACCTATACTTCCCTAGCCTCAAGACACTAGTGGACGCTGATAGACAATGGCGGACCCTTATAGACGCTGGTGGAGCTGGCAGGTATTGGCAGATTTGATCGATGTATGCTGTCCTAGTCACGACGCTGCAAGGACGCTCGGAACGCTTGTGGACCTGCCGAAAAGTATGAACGCAACCCTTGCACTTGATCAAGCACAGGCCATACGGGTATAGTGGGGAATAAGCTCCCATTAAGAGCTTTCCCAGCTTTAAAATAGAAACGGTGCCCATTCAAGATGGAACTCACGTAGAATAGCGCAGTGGCAATTCTGTTACCGGTACCCAGCGAATCGAATGATTTCGTCTCTTCCTTTCGTGCGTGGTCAAAGTGGGGATCGTAATGGCCACCGATACCATAGTTGGCAATCTGAATCGAGAAAATTGCAAAAAATCACTAAATAGCTCGAAAGCAGCAGTCACCTGTAGTTCTTCAGCGGTTTCCATTTCAAGGTTGGTCATCATATCGAGTCGTTTATTCACTCGATCCACAACCTCGTCCTCCCATCCTTTCAGCCATGCACTACAAGTCCCCTTTTTATTGTGTGATATTTTGTTGAAGACAGGGCAAATTACAAACCTCTTGCTGATTCTGTAGGTGGCAGTGATGAGATTACCCGTAGCGGCATCGTGGACAGTAGCACGAGCCAACTGAAAGTAGCCTGGATTAGTCAGATACCCCAGAAAAACGAAGGATTCACTAACCTTTGGTTTGGCCAGTTCCTGAATAACCTCGATTTCATCATCACTTACTACTTCCTTGAAAAGAACCGCCAACGGATTGAATCTCTTGATTTCGACCTGAAATCGTGCACGTAGAATACATCGCACAAAAGTGCAAACTCATTTTCGGGCAATAAATGATTGCTCACGTTCCCATCGAGCGCGAGGCTAAATGTCTGAGGCATGATTCAGCACGTCCGAGTCGCGCCAAGGATCGCAAAAGAAGCGCTAGAAGTGATATCACGTGTGCGATACCTGCACCAGCACTCTCTTAGTTCAAAGTGCAACGCTGCAATCTGTCAAGGCCAACTACCCAAGAAATAATCTGCTAGTTTGCACGCGATGCCGCGATTCGGATATTCTATTGTACAGCCTCAGTTTCTCTCACGTTAACCATTCACCGACGGGGAACGAGTCATTTTTGCTGATCGGGGATGTTACGGTCGGGTCGTCTGCGGTAGCGCGCGGCAAAAAGAGTGGAAATCATGAAAGTGGGAATATGATGCTTAGCTTCACTGAATCTGCTCCCTTCAATCACGTATAATTGCGCCTAAGAAAAGACCTAAAATATC